ACACAAGCCAGACATGAAGGACCACGTATTGTATGATTCCATTTCTACAAACTGTCCAGAACGGGTGAATCTATAGAGACGGAAAGTGGTTTCCTGGGGCCGGGAGGGGGCTGGGGAGATGGGCGGGGTGGTGGCTAAGGGTGGAGGGAAAGACTTCTTTTTTTTTTTTTTTTTTTTTTTTTTTGTGGTATGCAGGCCTCTCACTGTTGTGGCCTCTCCCATTGCGGAGCACAGGTTCCGGATGCGCAGGCCCAGCGACCATGGTTTACGGGGCCAACCGCTCTGCGGCATGTGGGATCTTCCTGGACCAGGGCACGAACCCATGTCCCCTGCATTGGCAGGCGGACTCTCAACCACTGCGCCACCAGGGAAGCCCGGAAAGACTTCTTGAAGCCTCTCCCAGTCACCCTCCTTGGGGCTACAGAACCAAGAAGCATCCAGATGGTGGGTGTGCACGGGGGGCTCTGCCCCCGGGCAGGTGAGTGGGGCTGAAAGCGCCCGGGCTGCTCCCACAACACTCACGGTCTCTGACTCCCGGCATCTGTCACCTTATACTTCATTCACCTTTCACAATAGCCTGCACTTGCGTGGCACAGCTCTCCCTTACAGGATTGCCTCTAATCCTCTCTCAACAGCTCTTGAGCTGGGCCGAGCAAGTTCTTTCTTTCTTTTTTAATTAATTAATTAATTATTTTTGGCTGCGTTGGGTCCTCGTTGCTGCGCGCAGGCTTTCTCTAGTTGCGGTGAGCGGGGGCTACTCTTCGTTGTGGCGCGTGGGCTTCTTATTGCGGTGGCTTCTCTTGTTGCGGAGCACGGGCTCTAGGCTCACGGGCTTCAGTAGTTGTGGCTCGCGGGCTCAGTAGTTGTTGCCCACAGGCTTAGTTGCTCCATGGCATGTGGGATCTTCCTGGACCAGGGCTTGAACCCGTGTCCCCTGCATTGGCAGGCGGATTCTTAACCACTGTGTCACCAGGGGAGTCCAACAGCAGAGCATGTTCTTAACATACTGTCTTCTGATGAGGAAACGGAGACCAGGATCCGGAAGCCCCTTGGTGGCTCCTCCGATAGGACCCCAGGGGCACGGGGCGGGAGTGACAGTTGGGCTTTGAACAGATAAAGGCTAATTGTGGGATTATGCATATGGTCAGGTGACTTAAATCCCGTCGACAAGCATGGTCTGGAGGGCTGAGGGGAGGATCCGCAGGCTGTGGGCTCTGGAGGGGGGGGGAAGGGAGCCGTCTGTTTCGGAACTTCTGGGCCCCAGCGACCTCTCAGGCTGTCCCTACACTTTGCGGCCATCAGTGGCATCCCTGAGGGGTCTGGCGTCAGGGTCTATTCCCGGCCCAGATGCTAGGAGACCAAGCTCCTACCTGACCCTTCCGTGAACACAAAGGTGTGGCCGTGACAGATTGGGGACCACCAGACAGGGAGCCCTGAAGCCAGAAGGGGGCGGGCAGGAGGTGGACCAGGGTTTCACTTACCTCTGGGGCCTGAAACCATCCCGTGTGTCAGCCCTGGAGATAAACTAACCTCTATTAAACGCTGACTGTGCGCCAGCTGCTGGGTAAGCACTGGGCATGCGTTAGCCCGTGAAGACTTCTAAGACGGCGCTGTGACAATGATCCCGAATCAGATGGGGCGATGGGGGTGGGAAAGACCACAGGCACCTGGACCATCTCGTGACAAATCCAAACCCTAACTCCGGCTTCCCCAGAATCCGGGCACAGCAGCCTCTTGTCCCCAGAGGACACTCTGCCCCGTGAGTGTCCACCTCTGCAAAGCTAGGGGAACAGTGTCTCCCTCATCTGCAGGAGGATGACGCCTAGCTCTAGGCAAGGCAGTCCTAGGACCCCGCACGGCGGCCCAAGCCAGTGGCTGGCTGAGGCCTCGGTTCACCTCTGCCCGCTCAGAACCCACCGACGGGTGGGCTTAGGCAGCATCGCCTCCCTGCTGACCACCAGGGGCCGGGCTTCAGTAGTGACCTCTGGGCTGCTGTGCTCGGCGGCTCCCGACCCGCTAGCCCGGGACAGCAGGAGCAGGGCTGAAGTAAGCCCTGCATCACAGAGGAGGCAGAGCCCAGAACCCCAGGCCAGCAGAGGCTGGGTTGGGGAGCCCTTCTGCGGGGCTGGGCCGTGACGGAGGGCCACAGCCAAGGGAGCAAGGGAAGCAGCGGGTCACGGGCAGATCCGCTTCCCAAGCACACGGCTCTTTAGCGGGGGCCGGGTCCTGTGTCGGATGCCTGGGCCCAGCTGCACCTTTGCTGGGAAAAGACTCGAAGGCCCTGTTGTCCTGGGGATGCTCCCAAACTCACCCTGCCAGCCCACCGGGCTCCAGACCTCAGGGAGAAGGACCAGAGCAGCTGGCCCATCAGGGAGGCTGGCCAAGCCTGCAGCCCCCAGCCTCCCTCAGGGCCAGCGACGCAAGCCTGGATGGCCTGGGCCACAGAGAAGCCATGGGGGTCACCGGAGAAGGATGGAGGTCAGGGGGCAGGGCCTAGCCAGAGGGCGAGGCTATCCATTTTACTCTGTGGACGTCACCTTACTGGTCAGAGGGACGGAGCACCTGAGCGGCGGCTGGTTTTTCGGAGGTTCCCAGCCTGCCATTTGCTGTGGCTTCTCCCAAACTGCAGCCCCGGCAAATGTATCTTTGGGGGTTTTGTTTGTTTGTTTTCTTTGGCCCCACCATGCAGAATCCCACGCGGGATCTTAGTTCCACGACCAGGGATCGAACCTGGGCCCCCTGCCGTGGAAGTGCAGAGTCTTAACCACTGGACCAAGGAAGTCCCAGGCAAGTGCATCTTTGAATCCAGCAGGGAGAGAAGATGCTGGGGGCCAGAAGCTTAGCATTCTCCCTGCAGGGCCTGGAGCCCACACTGCTCAGACCACTCTTTCCATGTCTAAGCTGACAAAGGAGCAGCTCCGTTGGGACTGCCCAGCCCTTGGGACCTTCTCGGAGGCGCAGCTCGGCCTCCCTCTCCACTGGCAGGGACAGAAAGGAGCCAGTGTTTGCTGTGCGTGGGCACACAATGGGCTGTGCCCGGGACCAGAGCATTTCTCTCAGCATCAGTTAATATCTGTCAGCCCCCACGCCGGCTGGGAGCCAGGAGCGGCCCAGAGAGAGGGCATCATTGTTCCACCTCTGAGGACCTGATATCCTTGGGGACAAGCTGGACAAACAGGGAGTGGCCTTGCCTGGAAGGAGGTTTCTCCTCTCGAGTTCTCTGGCCGTTCATGGCTGGCCCCTCTCGTCAGCCAATCCGGCAGCCCTGGGCACTCTCGGTCACTTATAGATGGTAACCCACAGCTATTAAATGCCTACTGGGTACCACGCCCTGGGGAAGCACCGTGCACGTATCTGCGGCTGAGGACCCTCCAGAGGAGGCATTACGGTGACCGTCGCCACTTACAGAGGAGGCAGCTGAGGCTTCTGGAAGCAACCTGGCCCAGGCCACACAGCCGGTAAATGATGGAACCTACACTCCACGGCTGTTGTGGGCATCCATGCTGCCCCCACCAGGCCTTTAGATGGGTTCTTCCCAGCCCTCCCCTGACTTCCTTCAGGCCTTTGAGGAAGGCTGCCCTTTTCCAGCAGGGCGCGGAGGAAGAGAAATCAGGAGGCTGGTGCTACCCAGCTCTGTTGTGGCCACAGCTCACTGGGGCTGAAGGAAGAGGCTGGGTGGGGTGAGCACTTGCCCCCAGGGACCCCGAGGCAGGCAGGCATCGCAGGCTTCGTCTACCTACGGTCTTCTTACCGTGGCCCTTGGGCTTCCTGAGTCCAGCCCGCCAGGCTCAAGGCCAGCAGGTGCCCACCTTACGCCTCTCTCTGCAATGCACTGCGCCGCCCTGACTCCTCTGACCTCCTAGCACATCCAGCCAGCTGGGTGAGCCTGGGCACTCAGGAGAAGCTAGCAGCGGCCACAGAGCAGAGGCAAGGGGTTGCTCTCGGGGTCCCCAGAGGCCATATCGCCATGATGCTTCTACCCAGGGAGCAAGCCTGCCCCCACCACTGTGCCCATCCCCACCCCAAACCTGAGTCAACTGCCTACCCCAAAAACCATTCTGGCCGTGGTCTACAGAGTGTGTGGCCTGGCTCCCGCCCACGCCGCCAACCTCATCTCACTCCTCTCGCCCCTTCTCTCTCTGGCTTGAACCGCACTGGCCTTTTCTCCGTTACCCAAGTGTATCACAATCCCTCTCACCACAGGGCCTTTGCACATGCAAGTCCCTCTGGTTGAAATTTCTCCCTTCAGCACACTCCTAATGACCTCTTCTTCATCCCTCCTGTTTCAGCTCAAGCACCCTTTCTCAAGGAAGCCCTCCCTGACCTCTGGGTCTAGGTCAAGTTCCCTCTTATTCTCATATCTCCACACATTTCTTTGCAGCCCTTGTTGGCTACAAACTCATACGTTCATGATTCAGTTCTTTCATTTAAGTCTCATCTCCCTGCACTGGCAACGGAGGCAGGACAGGGTCTCTTCTGTTCACCGTGGTTTCCCGGCTCCTAGCACTGTCCCCAGCGTGTGTTGTGGGCACTTGATAAACACTTCTTGTCTCCTGTGTAGACGGAGGTGGGGCTTGCCCTGCCCACCTCATCATGTTGACAGGAGAACCAAGAGAGCAAATAGACATCCAAAGACTTTGCAAAACATGAACAGTCTGGAGGTGAGTGTTAGCTCTAGACCCTATGAACACGTGCTCTACGGGTGGCAGACCCACTAAGGTGGGGAAGTCAAGTCATGGGTACACGGAAGGTGTGTGAATTTTTTCAGGGCTGGAGGGAGGGGCTCAAGCTCCCCCTCCCCCTCAGACCAGGGAAGCTTTTAGCTCTCCTTGGATCAATCTAGGGAGGCTTCCTGGAAGAAGGACTATGGTTTCCTTGATGATGTAGTCAATAGTACAGCCAAGAGTTCAGAGGGTAGAGAAAGGGCCCTTCCTGCCCCTACCAGGTGTGAGCAGACCTCTGCCCTGCCCTACAGCTCCCAGCCACACAGCCCCATGTACCTGCTCGTCTACTTTATGGGCGATGAGAGTGGCTCCTTCTTCCAGCTCCGCCACGCTGATGGGCCGGACCCGGAGCGCCACCTGGGAGGGAAGGCCAGACCCCTGGGATTAGATGCAGAGGGCTGTGCTGGGCCGCAGAGAGAAGGATGAGAGGACCCCAGGAATCCTCCCCTGGACCAGCCCCATGGGTTCCTCTCTGTTCAGCCATCCGAGCCTGGTTTATCTTAAGGAAAACTCAGTGGTTCAAGGCTACCCTCTAGGTCGAGGGTACCAGGTCCACAGACTGTGGGCTCTGTCTGAGTCTACGAACTTCCCAGGAGCCTGTGCTCCAGGGAGAGCCCCAGCGGAGAGAGCTGTCTGCTCCGCCAGGCTGCATCAGTCACACCCCAAACTAAGCACCTGCATCTCCCCTGGGCTTTGAACTTGGAGCCCCTGGCAGCGGAGCGGCCTGTCTGTGCGTCTGTGGACGACGTGGGCGGGAGGTGGGACGGGGGCCCAGGGGACATCCCCTCCTCGTGCTGACAACCAGTGACTGCATTCCCACCTGAGGACAGTGCCATCGGAGGCTCCCACCTCCCTCTATCCTCCCGCCAGAGAGAGACGGTGGGTCTTCATCCTGGGCCTGGGTCTCCCCCCAGACGGGGCGCTGCTGCTTCTACTGATCAAGGGGAAATAGCTGCTCTTGTGGGGCACCAAGGGGGGTGTGTGGGTATAACTAATGGGCCCTCGTGCCAGGTAAGAACCCTTCACTCTCAGACGCACTTCCCTGCCCGTCAGGCCGCCCACACCGGCCTCCCCGGCCAAACTCCACGGGTGGCAGGGAAGGCCCCTCCACCCCTGCCCCAGGGGCGCGCACGGGGCGCACCACACAAGCCATTTCCCAAGAGACAATTCTAAACTGCCAGAGAGGATGTTCCAGAGCCCCCCTGGGCTTGCCTGGGGGCCTGGGGCTGAGGTTCGTCTTTGGAGCTGCGAGCTCACCCCACAGAGGCGGGGGTCTCTGGGGGCTTCTTTATCCTCCAGTTACGTTACCACCCACCTGCTGGCGATGGCGGCCCTTTCCCGGATCTCAGAAGTTGGGGGGTGGGGAGGGGGCTGGGAGAAAGCAGTGGCCTTGGGGTCACTGAGTCTTCCCCCCATCACTCAGTCTGGCCCCACTGATCATCAGAAACCTGTCTTTGTCTCCACCTGTCTCCCGTGCCCCCCACTCACACCTCTTCCTCTGCCCCAGTCCCCGGGGCTATGAGGGGCCATCTTGGTTGCTTCCAGCACTTCTCGGAAATGTCCTTACTTGGAGTCCTTACTTGGGCGGCATCTGTGTTGCAACCCAATAACCAGCTACCTTCAACCCTGTACCAGCTCCTCTGGTACCTGGGGGCTCTTGTCTACCTACCTGTGATCCTCAAACCCTTTAAACTCCTGACGCCACTGGGCTGGCATGCCCTGGTTCACCAGGAAACTCCCACCTTCCTTCCCCGGGCAGGTAGGTCAAGCCCTCCCTGCCCCTGGCTTTTCGGGATCAGAGAGCAGTGTTGTTCCAGAGCCCCATGTGCACAGGTGGGGGGTGGGGGGGCCCTGCTGGGAAGGTGTAAAGGGGGAGTGGGACTGAAGCCAGGCTAACTTTCCAGGCCTTAGCAGGGTGGCCATGATGCCCTCCTTCCTGACATGCACCACTCGGAGCAAGTTGCTCGGGACGCTCCCAGCCCCTGACCCTGAGTGTCCTCTTAGCGGGGGCACCCAGTACGGTCCAGAGGCCGCCCGAGGGTGTGGGTTCGGGGGACCAGGGATGGGGTCGAGGAGGGGGAGGTTGACGGGTTCTCACCATGAGTTGCTGGTCCTTGGAGTCCCCGCTGTCCTTCATGCTGGCGGCGGGTGGAAGGGCTCAGGCCGCGACAGCGGTCGTGGCCGAGCCGCAGCCCCACCGCCGCCGGCTCCCTCGCAGCCTCGCCTCTGCTGCTGCCTGACAACCCGAAACCAACGACGCGCCCGCGGTCGAGGCCGCCGACAGGGAGGCGGGGCCGGGGGAGGGCCCCGACGGCGCCTCCCGCCTCCCGCACCCCCGCCCCTCCGCGCTGCTGCCGAGGGGTGGCCGCCTCCGCCGGGGAGGCGCCCTAGGCTGCTCCGCTTTCCCGGCGGGTGTCCGCCTGTGCGACCCTCCGGCCTTCGGCGCGGCCCTGCGTCCGTCCGTTTGGTAGCTCTCGGCGCCCCCTCCCCGCGCCCCGGGGCTCGTGGCCTGGGCTCCTCTTCCACGGCCCTCCAGAGGGCGCCCGTCCGGCCGCGTGGCTCGAGAGACAGACACGCTGCCTCCCGCTGGGGCCGCGAGCATCCTCTGCCGGCCCGTCTGTCTGTCTGTCTGTCTGACTCAGCGTCTCCAGGGCGGCGGCTGGCAGCCTTGTGTTTCCATGGGCGCTGCGTGCATCGTGGCTGTGGTCTCGTGTCGCTGGCGTGGTGTCTCCACCGCGTGTCCAATGACAGAGCGGGCAAAGAGTTGGCCCTTTGCCCCGGCTGCCCACCCGAGTGTGCAGGGGAGCATCTATGTCACTTGGGTTGTGTCACAGAAGAGCCCGCCTCTCAATGTACCTCGCTAGCAAACCAGACCTGATCCGTAAACCCGGAATCTAGGTCAAGATGGTTGGGTCAGTGTGCCTTCCGGCTCCCTGCCTGCTGTAACAGCCACGACAGCGTTCAAGAAAGTATGGGTCAGACGCTGCGGTCTCCATTCTTGGTGAGAACAACAGCAATTACACACTCAGGGAGCACAGTGGAAAGATTCCTGGCCTCAGGGGCCCCAGGAAAACAGGATTCTGGTCCCGGCTCTGAATCCAACTTGCGGAACCACGTGGAGTCAGTGTTTCCTATACTCTCTGGGCCTTAGTTTCCTGGGTGATGGTGGAGCTCCACCTGCTTCTGATGGAAGAAGCCGTCATCTTTCTTGTCTCCTCCTGCACCCCCTGAAGCTGAGCCAGGCAGCCCCCCTGCAAAGACTGGGCAAGGGGAGTCCAGTGGGGTTCACTTCCCTTTTAAGGAGCTGGGTACAGGAAGAGCCGCTTATCCCCTGCGGCCATCTCAGACGGCCTGGTACACGTCCAGAACATGATGCCAGCCTGTGTCCTAGGACTGGCTTCCCCGGCTGACCCCAAGGAGCTCGTGTTAGGTATAGTTATTAATAAACAGTGGCAGAAAGCCGCTGGTGGCTTTGGATTTGATAAATAAGTAAACCCAGTAAAGCTCGGTGGAAACCCAACACTCCAGCATGGGCTCCCAAGGTTTTGTCCCGTTCTCTGGCCCAGGCTGCTCTGCGCACGGAGGCTGGCCAGTTTGCAAATGCGCGAGCTGCATGGAGAAGCAGGTAAGTTTGAAGATGTGTCATTTGGATTGAAAACACCCTCCAGGGAATTCCCTGGAGGTCCAGTGGTTAGGACTCTGTGCTTTCATTGCCGAGGGCCTGGTTGGATCCCTGGTCAGGGAACTAAGATCCCGCAAGCCTTGCGGTGAGGCAAAAAAAGAGAAAGAAAATCCAAAATTTGTTAAGAAAGGAAGGAAGGAAGGAAAGAAAACACCCTCCAGGCTTGCATTGTTTGTCCTCCGTATTAGAGCCCTCCTCTCCTTCTCCACAAATCTCCTTTCCATGCCCTCAAAGAGTCATCAAAGGAGGCTCCCTCAGGGCAGGGGCCCGGGCACTGGGTGAGCGTGTAGTACATGCCCTCCCCGTACTGGAATCCATACACCCTGGGGTCTGATCGCTCATCCAGTCCTGCTGCTTCTGCCCCTCCTCTGCATCCCCACTGCCACTGCCCGCAGGCTGGGACCTCAGAGTGTCCCATCTGGGTGGCCGCAGCAACCTGCCTGCTCTACCTCCAGCTTTGCTCTCTTCCCATCCACTCCCACCATCATTGTTCTAAGAGACAGATCAGTGTCATCAGCTCACCTGAGATCCCGCCATGGCTCCCTATTGCCTTCCACACGGACTCGGCCTGTTAGCCTGGAGTCCCGGCCTTGCCCGCACCGTCTCTGGCCTGTCCCCTCCTCCTGCCCCTGCTCTGGCCGTGCTCGACCACGGGGAGTATCCTGGATGTGCCGCGCTCTTCAGTCACCCCTGGGCTTTGTTCCTGCCTTTCTGTCCTGGCTGTCCCTCTTCCATGTATTTTTCTGGCTAACTCCGCCTTCAAAACTCATCTCACGTGGCCCCTCCCCCTTTTCTGGCTTTTCTGAGCTCATTGAGGTCTTGAGTCCTTCACCTGAAGTTTCCAGGGGGCAGAAGCTCCCTCACCGCATAAAAGGCCGTCGCCGCCCTCCTGAGTACTGACGCTGGCAATGACTATTATTTGCACGGAGCAACGGTATTTTCTTTCTTTCTTTCTTTCTTTTTTCATTTTTTAGCTTGCAGATCTCAGTTCCCCGACCGGGGATCAAACCCATGCCCTTGGCAGTGAAAGAGGGGAGTCCTAACCACTGGGCCGCCAGGGAATTCGCACGACGGTATTTTCAATCAGAGGTATGTGACGTTCTCCACTGTCCTCCAAACCCACCCCCGTTGGAACCCGCTGGTTTCAATGAGCCCTGAGCACTTTCTAAAGCCCTGTCACCCTCGAGGGCCCAAGGGATCAAAGTCCCCCCTGCCTGTGAGCTGGACGAGGGTACTTATAGCTTGGGAGGGGACATGAAGGAGAGTCATTGGGAAAGGAAGCACCCATTGAGGATTTGTCTCTTAGGAAGAAGCCCCAGCATCCCCTTCCAGGTTTGGGGTTCAGCTGCTGAAGGGATTCCGACAAACCATTTCCACACGTCATCCTAGTAGGTTCTCTTATTAACCTAGAACTTGTTGCCCATGGCGAAGGCTGCCACCAGAGTCTTCTAAATGGGAGAGGTGATAGACACTAATGGAGCGTTCACGTTGAACCCAGCTGTGGTGTTATGTGGACGTGTTATTTCATTGACTCCCCCAGATAACCAGGTAGGCAACAGAGATACAGAGAGGTAAATAAGTCTATAGCCGTCGCCTCGCTCCAAGGCGCGACCTGCTCTCACCGGACACCTTGATATCCTCCAACCAGGGTCCAGGCCACCTCCCTCCCGGCATCATCCGTGAGCAGCCCAGTGATTTTGTAAAAATACAAATCTGGGGCTTCCCTGGTGGCGCAGTGGTTGAGAGTCCGCCTGCCGATGCAGGGGATACGGGTTCGTGCCCCGGTCCGGGAGGATCCCACATGCCGCGGAGCGGCTGGGCCCGTGAGCCATGGCCGCTGAGCCTGCGCGTCCAGAGCCTGTGCTCCGCAACGGGAGAGGCCACAGCAGTGAGAGGCCCGCATACCGCAAAAAAAACAAAAACAAAAAAAACCAAATCTGATCACACCACTCCCCCGCTTCTCAGATACTAGGAGAAAGGTCAAAATCCTTCCCGGGACCGTCAGGGTCCTGGCCGCCCGCGCGTCCTCCAGGCTCTCTCCCCGTCTCTTCAGCCCTTGCTCACCGCACTTCCGCAACAGCGACTTCTGCCTGCTGGCCAGACAGCAGCTCCAGCAACTTCTCTCCTCGGCCCGACTGCCCCCTCCATCGTACACCTCCACCATCACGCGTGTGTGTCTACGGGCACACGGATGCACCCACACCTGCGCACACACTGCCTGGCCGCCTCACGCTCGTCCTGGGTCTCGGCTTCACTGTCACTTTCTCACGGAGGCCTTGCTGACAGTGCCTTTCCCCCCCACCCCCCGGAATCTAGGTTAGTTCCTCCTATTATCCCTCTCATAGGGCCCTGTCACTTTGCACAGCTGTCATTCTACATTTATCTGTGTATTTGTCAGGGCTCCATTTCTCCCACTGCTGTACCAGCTCCGGGAGAGCAGGGTCTGTATCTGGCTTCTTTGCTTTTGCTGCCCTGTGGCCGGGACCGGGCGCGATGCAGAGCAAAGTCGGCGTCACCCAGACAGCAAGCGCCTCAGCTGGAGGCAGGCTCCAAAGCCCAGACGTCGTGCCTGCCTCTGAGCCCCACACAGCCCTGCTCCTGTCCGCCATTCTCATTCCTATCCTGAGGGTATAACCACCAGGCCCTCAGCACGCCGGTGCTGGGCCTCTGGTTCTGGGAGACAGAGAAGAGCCGAAAGGGGGTGCTGACCTGACCCTGCTGGGTTACCAGCAGCCGCCTTCGCCTCCCCCGGGGGGCAGTGGCATCCCAGGGGCCTCTGGACCCCAGGGAGCACTTTCTTTTGTTTCTAATGAAGGGCAAAGGGGGTTCCTTCTTCAGAGTCCTGCCCTGGGGCCCACGGTATCTGGTTGCCACACAGAAGGGAACGTGGGACAGTGATTCCCCTGCAGCGCACGGGGCTGTCGCAGCTGCAACGGAAGAGTCATCGGTAAGCGGCATCGTAGCCAGTGACGGCAGCCGAGTGGAACAGGTCCGAGGGGAGCAGCACACTCTCCCCTGGGTGTGCGTGGACGGGGGGGCGGGGCTTAACTGTGCTGTGGAGGCTTGGGTCCGGCCACTGCTTCAGCCACTTTCCGACCCTGCTTGGACGTGTCCCCACATCCAGGCCCTGTCATCCACGTTCCACATTCCACGCCCACGTGCTGGGTCTTTCCAGCAGCGTCTGCGTCTCCAGTGATGCATTATGGTTTTGTTTTGTTCCTTGCTGGGAAAGCCTAGGCAACAGGCTCCAGAGGAGGCTGGTGAACGAGGAGGGGACGGTCGTCGGTGAGGATGGGCAGCGATGGGCATCGCATTCGCAGAGCTCACGCTGCCCTTTGCCCCGCGATGTCCGAGGGGCCCTCCCCGCCTCTCCCACGCCCATTCCTCAAATGCCATCCGGCACAGTGGCACCCTCTGTACTACAGCGAAGGGTTTGAGGCCCCAGAGGTGGCCCAACCCCTGCCAGCAGGAGCCAAAGGCCCAAATTCTAGTAAAGCAAAAGAACGTTCTCCCCTGGGGCTCATCAGCCCGGCATCTCACCCAGGGGTCCATGGGTGTGCCCGGGGCTAGTGCAGGGAGCTCTGACTTTCTCCAGGACGTTTCATTGGATAGA